GAACAGCCGAACTGCAGAACTAGCAGTCAGCTGAAGTAGCCTTGCAGTACAGCACTCTAACCACTGCGCCACCTTGGCTCTTTCTCTCTCTTGGCCAGCCGGATGAGCTAACCAATGCCCTGGAGATCAGCAACATTGTCTTTACAAGCATGTTCGCTCTGGAGATGCTCCTCAAACTCTTGGCTTTCGGCATCTGGGGTTACATCAAGAACCCCTACAACATTTTTGATGGCATCATTGTTGTCATCAGGTAAGTTGGATTCTAATGTTCCCTCTACTTAAAACTGGGGCAAGGCGGGCGGGGAGAGAGAGAGAGAGAGAAAGGATTGAAATTGCCTGCCAGCTGAATTTCCTTGCCTGCTTATCTTTTTCACCACTGCAGCAAATCTTGGGGAAGTAATATTCCACTTCTGGTGTTCCCTGGGGTCACCTCCCCGAATTGTCTTCGGGGAAGATGTGCTGACTTAGCTGTGTCTGCAGAGGAGCTGGGAGGGGAGGGGAGAGAATCCCCAGAGAACGTGGCCCTTCTGTCTCCCTCTTTTGACCACCGTCACGTGCCCAAATCCCCAATGGAAAACACCTTTGCTGGGCCCGACTTCATCACCTGCCATATAGGCCAAAAAAAGAGCAACAGTGGCCCCAGGCCATCTCTGCCACCAGGGACCATTAGGAAGCTGACGGTTGCTCAGGCGCTGGACAGCCCAAGTTGCCTGAATCTCTTTCTCCACCCTGCAGTGTCTGGGAGATCATTGGCCAGGCCGACGGGGGTCTTTCGGTCCTGAGGACCTTCCGGCTCCTGCGGGTTCTCAAGCTGGTGCGGTTCATGCCGGCTCTCCGCCGGCAGTTGGTGGTTCTCATGAAGACCATGGACAACGTGGCCACCTTCTGTATGCTGCTCATGCTCTTCATCTTCATCTTCAGGTAGGAGGCGTCATTGGGCCCGTCGCCTGTCTCGCTTACTTAGCCGGCTCTTCTGCTCCTCTCGGTGCTGCACCTGTTAGAGCAACAAGGATCCCATTTGCGGGAATAAAAATGGCCTCTCCACGCAGTGACTGGCTGGCATTCTGCAGATCGATGTCCCCCGGGCCGCCACATTCCTTCTGCACGCTGCCACCCGGGAGACACACGAAGGACGCACAGGGAGGGAAGGAAGGGGAGTAGGAGAGAAGAAACGAGGGAAGGAAAGAGGGAGGGAGGGAAGAAGAAGTAGGACCGTTGTAAGATAAGATGGATCTATGGGATGATAAAAAAGCAATCTTCAAGTATATTGTCAACAGTAGGGAAAAATTGTTATAAATACATATTATTAATAACAGGTATAAGATCATATAATTGTGAATGTATATATGAAATTGATAAAATA